TTCCTTTAAACAGTCCTGTCCTTTTGGCAGACAGTCTCTTTAAGATTGGTAGATAACGACCTGCGTTCGATTTTTGACGATGTCAGGCTGACTGTCCGAGTGTTTTCCCCGAAGCGAAACTTAAATATGAACCTGTATCCTCTGGAAAAACCTTCATAAAAGCCTCCTTTTCTCCTTGCTTTGTTATTTATTATCAGGAATTGTTTAATGGTTAGTACGAGTTCTATGTAATATAATCAGTTATATTGGATCCCAAGTATACATTACATTAAGCATAAGACTCTTTCTTATTTGGCATGGTAGAAACTTGTTATCTAATAACAAATATGTCTCTGAGAAAGCCATTTTCTAAAAATAACTAGTTTCCTTCCCTTAAATATTTATTGCATTTTTTTAGTCATTTAATAATAATTATTTAACTTTTTTTCTGAAAACTTTTACTTCTAAAATGCAATTTTTTAAAAACTGCGTGCTTCAAATATTGTTAAATTATATATAGAAGGATACGTTTTTAACACTTGATACTTGTATTCCTAATAGTATTTCACAACTTTCCGTTTTGTTTAGTTTTAATCAAGAATGTTTAGCCACTTTGCTTTTTGGTTGAATGCGTTTAACACGCTCTGTCTTCTTGAAGGGATGTGTCTTCTTGGAGAACGTTCAGGGAAGCTATATCATATTCTAATTGAGGAATGCCGAAAACGTTAATGTTTCTTTGGTAAAAAATTGGTTCAAAAAGTTTAGAAACGATCTAAAATATGCTCATATTATGACTTATCAAAACCATTCATGGGGCACTGTATGGCGATATTGCATGAAGATTTTTCGGTAAACTGTGCAGATTATTTGGTATCGTATGTAAAATTATCATTACGGTATGATTAGAATCCTGAAACGTATTACTATGGAAAAGTGGCGAGGTCACTGCGCAAAGTTTCCTTACGAAACTTGAGAACCCAAGACACTATGCGAAATTTTAATTTGGTCCTACTCTTCAAGAACTTTTCTATTTCCACTTTTATTTCCTTTTAAATTCTTTGATATGTTTAGGCTGAAGTCATATTTATTTAAACTTTCCCTCAATTAATTTTCTGTAATATAATAGTTTTTTAATTGGGATTTAATATCGAAACAAATTGCTATAAAATGTTAGGACTTGGAACATTTATTAACTGATAATAAAGACGGGAACCTTTTGAGGTACTAGTTGTGGACTCTTGTGTATTACTTGTTCACAAGTATTTTTTTTAAGTTTTATTTCATTCGATAATATTCCTCTCAGTATGTATATAAAATAATTTTCTTATATTCTTCAATTTATTATTGCTGTTCTTGCGCAGTTTATGTAAAATTAGCATTGATAATAACTGCATCTATATATGATGCCTGGCTAAAACTTCTTGCATTTTAGGACACTTGGATTTGGTGACATTTTTAAAATTTGGCTTTTGCAGTGGAATCTTAAGTAAAAACTTTCCTTAGTTGAAAAGAATAATGTAGTCAGAAAACGGCAAAGAAATCATTAGGGAAATAGGTCTTTGAACCTATTTCTTTAATGATGAACATATTTGCTTATTTTGAGAAATATGTCCCATTGAAATTAACTCTTGAAGACTGTATTTCTTAAATTCTTGTTTAGCGAGAAGGTGGTGGTCTTAGAATGTTGACAAATGCAGTTGAATTCTCTGTCACGTACTCTACATCAATGAAATAATCGGATTCTCTCTTGTTGTGGTGCTACTTTGTTGCTGTAAACTGAAATTTTTATTTGGGAAAAATAAATAAATAAAAGTAGCATATAAGGTCTCAAATGATGAGAAATTATTTGGGAAAGCAAGTGAAACTACACTGCGTTGCGGAACAAATTACTAAACTAGTTGGGAAAATGTCAGTGCTTGGTTTGCTAAGTTCGTCCTCTTTTAGTTTCGTTATCCTCTTCTATTAAACAACAAACAAACGCTTTCACTATTTTTTTAGTAACTCATTCAGTATCATACAGTACGTAAGTTTAGAAGAATTTCTTTGAGTAAACTACTCAGAGTGTGACATTCTTTTGGGGATGAGGAAAAAAATAAACACTTTGTCTGGGAATCGATCTACTTTTTAGACTCATTTTCGACCAGGATGAGACATCCATTGTTCATCTCTTTCCCCCCTTATATTGAAAGAGATTCGATCCCTTCTTTTATAGCCCAACTTTTCTATTAAAATTTTCTTCTTGGAATGCTAGATTCACCTTTCACAGCCGGCTTTTCGGGCAACGCATTCGACGTCAAAAAATTACGAGGCGTTTAGTCGTAAATCTCACAACGTGATTCAAATCATAATGCTGTCTGTCGCATTATCAGCGCAGTCCACATTCAGAACTCACTGGGAAAAGGCCGGCATCAGTTTTAAAGGGAAAGGGGAAAGATAATGGGAGTCGGTTTTAGAATATTTAGGCCAGTGGAACCATTATTACTCCGCATCCCTTTGAGATCTAAAATAACCGTGATTCCAGCACGTTTGTAGTATCTCCCATTGTTCTGAACTCGATAGAAATTCATCGTTTTGGTATTTTATTTGTGACCGTTCCTCCTGCTTCGTCGTTACGGGGATTTTGATTTATGCATGAGTATGTATAGTGATCGGTGAGAGATGCAATTAAATTTGCCGATTTTGTGTTTACCTTTGCCTCGATTTCATTAAACATGAAGAGATCTTGAGAATGTTTTAATGTTATACACTGAAGGGGCAATTTTATTTCAAGTATCCAAGTGAGAGTGTGGCGGTTATTAAACTTATATTAATTATTTCGTTTCCCTATAGTCAGTTCCAATGTAGAAAATAAATCTCACGATGACCATAATCTTTATCCGATAAGTATAGAGTAAATCAGAAAATTATTTCTTGGGAGGGAAAGCAAGAAAAAATATGAAACTCCAGTTACAGAGAATAAAACGAATCGTAAAAATACATAGAATCTTTGAGTGATATTATCTCATTCCAACCTAGAGGCAATCGAAATATACACTTTCACTTGCCTCAGGGCTATCGAAAAAAATATTTTCTGGATTTCGTATGGTTGCCACTCATTCAAAACTATTTTTTTTTTTTTTTGTTGTTTTCTTACACGTCGGATAATATCTGCAATGTCCTTTATTTATTTATTTTGTTAATTCAAAACATACTCCACCTGACTGTGATAATGACATGTTTTTCGCTTGACAGTCGTTTTAATGCATTAATGTAGAAGAACAGCACAATTATTACGGCTTAGTGACAAAAATATTTCTAAAGCTCTCGAAGACTTTAGATCAAACTGATCTGAAGCTATACATATAATTAACAATAATAATTGTAAATAACATAGCTGTGCAGAACAAAGCTCGTGCGTAACTGAATTATTTTTGTTTGTCGAAGTGAGTTCTGCAAATCACAAAAGTTGTCTAACTAAAGGGAGGGAAGTCTTCATTGAGGATAACGCATACGCCTAAGAAGGCATCACCTTCACTGGGCTGGCAGATAGATCTCATGTGCTTTGCCATATTCTAGTAACCTAACCTAATCTTCATTGGGATTCGAACCTGAGTTAAATTCGCTACGAATGGTGAGCGGTCTTGTCCTTTCGGCTGCTGTTGGGCTAAGAGAATCAAATTGACAATACTATAAAATATATGTTCGCATAAATAGTAATGTATATCGACACCCGAATATAGATATAAGTAAAAAGGCTGGTAAATTAACTATTTTTTCGTTTTTCAAATGATGCGGAAGTATGAAACCAATTTAAACGACAAAAACATGTTTTATGTATTTGACTTGATTATAAAAACTAAAAACTTACAGATATATGTATAAAAGGATTGTAAATTTAATATCAATCTAATTATTTCTACAATTTCTGTCTTAAGAAGAGAATTCTTTTATATGATCTCTCCTTTAATCTTTTGACTAACACGCAGCGCGACTGCACCGAATTCCATGTCAAAAAGTCTCATTGTACCTTTCCATGTGGTTCATATCATCGTCATATATATCTCATAATCTTAGTTCCCCAGGTTCGTATGGCGATTAGCCGTCCAAATCATATGACAGATAGTCATCATGCCTGTTGGACTAGGTTCTAATATAACTAAGGCTCAGACCGTAGAGATTGTAAGTTCTTTGAGGTCCTCTCTGGTTAGATCATTAAATATATTTCCCTTTGTCTATTGCTATAACTTTTTGTTGTTGGACATGTTCTTCTAATGTTGACTATTGCTGAAATGGTGCAGTAGAAGAAGGTTAAATAAGTTTGTTACCTCTATTTGGAATGTTTCCATTAAAACAGACATAGCGTATTTAATGGCTATGTTTTTAAAAGAAAGAAAGAAGAAACTGCTCTCTAATGCTTGCTTTATTCAACAAAATCTTAGAATAAAACTGATTCAGTTCCCAAAAAGCAATTTCGTGTTATGAATTTTATGTATTTCCTTTTATTCTTTCTTATTTCTTATCTACTTTTTATGCATCACACAGGTTAAATGTTAAGCGTATCATTAACTCGACTGCCAGAAACATGATCCTATAATAATTTAATCTTAGAGATTTCAAATTTACCTGGGTCTTATTTTTGTCTTAACATTACAATCCATATTTAATGCAACTTCATTTTTTTTTTTTTTTTGGCTTATGAAGGGGGGAAAATGTAGTTGTTACATAAATTATCCAGTTTACGAGAGCTGTGACGAATAAATAGATGCTGAAATTCCGTCTGTGAAATCTCCAGTGATACCCTTCATATTTTGTTCAGCAATTCTTTCAGCAACCTATTAGACGGATTTAAGCGAGTCATGCACTCTTAATTGCTTGATAAAATATACTACACCTGTCGCAGGTATTTTTTTTATTCCCCCCGCTTTAGGGATGTTCCCTGAATGCGAGTTTGTCAAGCGAATCAAGTTTGGAACGTGTTATACGTCATTCTGACGTCACGCAGTAAATAGCTCAGCTTAGGTCAATCCAACGAGAAACTTTTCAGTGGCGAAACCGCCAACCGCTGATGAGGTAGTTTCCAGGCGCACTGTCGGTGGTTGAAAACTATTCTCAATTTTCTTTTTCTCCGTACCAGTGGTAACCGGCCGGGTAAAATACGTTGTTGTGGTGTTAAGTATATATTTTTTTATTTCTCATGGTACGCTCCTCTGAGGAGTATCGCAGCGAGCTGCTATGCGTGTACACCGATATTGAATTCATTAAAAGTTGTGATCCAGAAGATACAATGTTTTCGTCTGACGATTCCATAAACCACGATACGGAGATGGAAGAATGCCAGGTAAAATCATTATATGTATTTTCCTGTATTTGTAATTATTAACGTTTGTTACTGGAAATTTGAAGTTAAAACAAACGTTAAAACAAAAGAATGAAAAAAAGGTATCCTCATTGATTTATGAAGTCGCAGTTTTGGAACACTCATGATCTGATAACTTTAGAATGCCAAATAAATACAGAGAATGAGCAATTCTAGATAATTTAGACCACCTTTATCAAAGTCTCTCTTTTTTGGAAGGCCTTCCTGAAATCTTGCGAATGATATTGAAATATATTTTATCGAGTAAATTTCATCAAAATCGTAAACACTTTATTAAATCATCGTAATATTTGATGGCAAAGCTATAATCACTTTTGAAATTTATTCAGCTAATTATTGTAACAATCATCTACGATATGTACTTCAAACAAGAATAAAAAATTTATCTGTTTAACTTTTCCGTGTAACTGTGATGCATGATATTCTTTTACATGCATAGGACTTTAATTTTTATTGCAACAAAACTCTTAAGTAAGCAGTAATTCCTCCTTGCTCCTTTTTTTTAAATTTTGTTTATTTTGTTAAATTTTTAAATTTTGTTTGTTTATTGTTTGTTTTATAAATATGTCATAGGAATAAGTCTATCCTTTGTCCTAAGCGCAAAAAAGAATAATTATTAATGTTGTACATAAATCGTACAATTTTTTGTGTCCAGAGCAGAAGTTAAAACAATCTTTAAACACTAGTTTTCACACCACTTTCTTAGTACGACCTTTACAGCCTCTTTTTAATTACTATCAAATAATTTTCAAACAAGGCAAATTCTCTTAAAAAGCGCCATTTTCTGATGTGCGGCTATAAAGTTGATGAATAACACATATTAAACTAAAATTCCAAATCGAAACTCTTGTATGTACTAGTCTCTATATCTCTGAAATTTCTTTGGTATTGCCCTAATCATAACTTTAAAAATTGAAATTTCTTGACCGGTCAACGATCTTGTCTTCCTTCTTCATACAAATTTTCTCTTTAGAAAGATTGTTTGAAGAATAGTCCTGGTTAGATTTTTCATTCTTGGTTTGCGGAAAAGTAAAAATTCAGCTTTTAGTTTGGTTTCACTTTTAGACATTGAAGAACTACACTTTTTTATTCTCAGATACGATCTTGAAACTCTGCATAAGCCAATATCTTATTTCGCTTCTCTGGTAAAGCAATAAATTTTTTTTAGAACTAAGACTAGAAGTTTCTTTGATTGAATATTGAACTGAAATTCAAAATGATGCTCAGCTGTGCCAGACACATTTAGTTTGTGGCTTCAGATCTCGTCTTCTTTAACTTTTATCTTGACTTTGTGAATATTTTGTTATGCAACTTTCTTTGATTCGGACTATTTGATAGATAACTTTTAATTCCTTTCTGTGGTTCCTTTATGAAAGTTGCAAATTATTTTCCAAAAAAAGAATACGTAGACGCTCCATAATTTAAGGTACATTTTTAAGTGTATTATAGGAATGTTTTGCGTTTTGTTTCGTAAGATAGCATTACTTTTGCTTTGACTGGGCATCATTGTATTCTTTGCAATTAAAACTTAGTATCAGATGACTAATCCCAGACTGATATTTAAAAGACTTGCATCTGAGCGATGATTGCGTCAGCAAAAACTCATGATTGCGTTAGCAAAAACTCAAAAGATGCAATGGTAATACATATTTATATATTATTCAGCAACTGATTATTTGAAATCCTTACTAACAACTGAAATTTGTCCTTTATGTATCAGAAGAACTTAATCGCTGATGGCGATAGTGATTTAAGCATATCCCTTCAAATTCTATAAAGCAATTTAAAATGAAGTTCAGTTTTCAAGCCGTAAAAGATCTATCCTTCTCGCCCCAAAAATTTTAATTCTGGCTGTGGGCACTGATGGAAGCGGTCCACTTTTAGTAATAAAATCATGAACTAATCTGCTTTTTACCCCCTTACAGAACACGTTAGCAAAAGTCAACATCAAACTAAGTCAGTTTAGAAGTTACACTTTACACCCAGATAACGGAATTCAGACTCGGCCTTATTTGAGCCCAACAGTGGCTGAAAATGTACGCGACTCCTTTATAATTGATAATTTGCCTCTAGTTTGGTTCTTGGTGAACGGGCTGACGACATGTTATGTGTAAGGTGAATATGAGCCAGTTTCTTATATTCATGTTAAATCTTCCACGAACATGTCTCTCCTCCGATGAGCATAACCCTCTCGTGCTCTATTAAACAAAAGAAGACATTTGAGTCGATCCACAATGATCAGTGTCCATTAATAATTTTGCCGTGTCTTTTGATATATGGAATTCTGTATATTTATTTCAAAAGAAAGTCTATCAATTGTTAACTTTTGAAAACAAATAATTTTTTGCCGATAGGGAAATTATGAGGATGCTAGCGTGAAGTTAAGTTTAACCACCCATTGCCTGTTTCTCATCAATATCCTGTGAAGCGGTGTTTAAATAAAAGAAAAAAAAGAACCTTGTGTAAGCCTTTAACCAGTTCTTGATCATCATTAGCACTCTGAAACTTGACATCTTTGATGGTGAATATTTAATAGGAGGAAAAAACTGGTGGCAAATAGCACTAGTGGATTGCTATTTGGATGTAGTTAAGAGGATTAAATGTAACTGGCGTGCTTAAGACATCAATACATCAGATTTACGCCTTAAATGCACTCCTTATAAAGACAGTATTACCTAATATGTTTTAAGTTAACGAAGAAATGAAATTATAAACTTTTTTTAAACCTTACACGAATCTAAGGATTTAATCCGCGTTACTTGCGACTTTTGTAATATCCTTGATAGAACGGAGCTTGAAATTTAACGAAGGATTGCATGTTCTAAGCCTAGGAAAAAAAAAGTTCTCTTTTTCTCCTTTGTTAAAGTAGCTACTTTTAGATAATGACCCTTGCTGAGATGTTAAATAACAGCCTGAAATAAAATAAATTTATATCTTAATTCAATGGTATTCTCAACAGTAATATAAGAATGACCTTTTAGGTATGTGTGAGAGGAGGTAATTCTGAAGTATTGTGGATGTACTTCGTGCTTAATATATATTACACAAAAGATAAGATAAACTCTTCTTGAGAAGAACTCCAAATGCCTTCTCTTTTGAAACGATAGCAGGGAGGGTAAAATATCTAACCTTCTTTCTGTTTGTGACAGCATCTGTTTTCTAGACGGCTGAAAATGTAAGCTTTTGTAAACAGAACTCTTGGATTTGTTCCATCAGCAACAGAGAGTTATTTTCCCATGTTCGATTGAGCTTACTATTATACGGAAGGTGAGCGTCCCGTGTTTTGTGTGCAAAAGTTGGGGTATTAATACCTGTACCTTTATTTTATTTATTTTGTTTTAGTTTTTGCGTGGATTGTGTTTAAATAAAGTCAGTTTGCTTCAACAGATCTCAAATTTCAAATTAGTAATAAAAGCAATTGAATATTTTATCTTAGCATACTTTTTGAACTGCGCATCGGTCAGAACGTATCAGCAATAATTAAGCCTAAATTTATTCATTTGTCAGCAAAAGTGGGTCGAATGGACCCAAACTTAGTTTACTGCTTTTTCATTTATTTACAGTGCAAGAAAAATGTCTTGGATAATCCTCTGTAGCTTCCCGTTCTCAAATAAAGAGTAATGAAGTCGGTACTTTTCTTGTTAGAAAAAATGATTAATTTTCACAGAAAGTAAAACTCTAAAAGAAGAAAGAAAAAGCGATGTTTTTCTAAAATTTACCTTCGGATTAAGTTCAGCGTCATCATTTTTGACATAAGAAGTAAATTTCATCTGTCTTGAACAAGTTGAGTAGTTCTCTTTAAATAGCGGAAAAATATTTTCACCAAAATAAGTATTTCCCAAAATTGCACAGATGCCATTTTGATTTTAGGAATTGATAAGACACTGGTAATTTGTTCTTTAATATGACAAAGCACGCAAGGGTTAGTTATCTAAAAGCTAAATATGCTGCTCACTTTCTATTAATTTACCTCAAAACTCTGTTTAGTAATTAAAGCTGAAATAAACTTGTCAGAAACTAGCGCCATCTTGGACTGAGATTCTGCACTAATGATAATTAAGTTCTTCTTAGAGCATTGTTCTATGAAGCGTAACATCTAGTAAGAAGAAGCCTTAAAACATTTTTATAGTTAAACTGAAAGTAAATAATTTTCTTCACAGATTTTTATATTTTTCTTTGTCCTTTGGAAGCAGAACCTTATGGCATTTTCTTTGTTTTAATAATTAATAATCTTTATTGTCTTCATAGTTTTGGGAAGGTATCTGAAGTACTTAGGAAATGTGATACTTTTGTAAAATCGACTAAACCAAGAAGAGCTGATTCTTTTTTTCCGAAAGAACAGTATTAAAACTTCTAATTATAATTCTTGTCATTTCGATGGGATCTTTTGAAGCCGGTTTCATTTACATTAAAGCTATCTGTATCCATTACGACCCTGAATTTATCGCAGAATGATCTCGTCAGTTAAGCGGTTGAAGTATTTCCCCATATAGGTCATTAAAGCGCAGGTTTTCGATTCCGGTTAATGCCCATAATGTTGGTAAATTGCATGTAGCGGTTCGAATTCCGCTAAATGACATTAAAATTGTTGCAAGGTGACATAGTCTGTTGTCCAACAGCGTGTCTGCTTTTGCATCCTTTACAAAGTAAATAATATGCGTCTAAATATTTGAATCTCTAGATATCAGGTGGTTCAAGATAAACTGAACATGGGAGATTTTACTTGCTTTTCAGGTTTTGTTTATCTTGGGCCACCCGCTATATGCTATTACTGCAAGAGCTCTTAGGAACACCTAAGTTCTTATTTATCTCTTCCTCACTGAGAGGCAGCCAGAAGTTTTCTTCTGGAGATATATTTTTTCTTTGTGATTTGCATATAAATATTTACTAATTTGGCTGTATCTACTGGCATTAAAATATTGAAGCTATATCCTTATCTCTAAAGGATGCAGAGCTTTTTA